CCGATAGCTCCCTTTAAAACTCCATAAAATTTTAGGCCTAATTTTATAATTACAGGAAAATGAGAGGAAAGAATGGGTGTTGCAAGCAATATCTTAAAAATTGTCTGGTGTGTAATATAATAATAAAAAGGGCTTGCAAGAGGTGGTAATCTAATTAACCAAATTATCCCACCCAATCTTCCCAACCATTCCTGTATAATTTCAAAATGAAGCCCCAATCCCATCCCACCCCACCCCTCCCATCCCATCCCATCCCACCCCACCCCACCCCACCCCACCCCACCCCAAAGGGATCGGGGATCCCATCCATATTTTACTAATCCATAGGCCCAGTTTGGTTGGGCTGATCCGGGTGGATAGTTCCTTTAATCCACTCGGATCTCAGCTTTGGTTGAGTCCAACAGGGTCTGGGATTGCACTTGGGCCCGGGTCCGGATCAAGGATTTACCGGATCTCCCATCAGGCCGAAGGAGGTGAGATTGGGTAATCTCATCCAACTCTCAGCCCAATCAAGTACAGTATATTACCTTTATGCCCTGAATATTTATTTCTAATTACAAGACTACCCCATATATATATGAATTACCCCAAAAATTATTGTGTTAGCCCTAGAATTTTACCGACATAGCAATACACGCCGTTCTTCGTTCTGCCTTTCTCCACTGTGGTCGGTTTTTTCACCGAGGTAATTTTCCGATAATCAACTCATCTAGGTTCTCTACAACGCTTCATTCTTCGTTTTTTAGGCCCCCTAAACCGGTTGAAGAATAATCAACTCATCACAGATTGATTTCTTATTTTTCATACTTCACTAGTTTTTTTTTTTTTTTTTTTTTTTGGTTTTTTCCGATAATCAACTAATCACAGATTTCTTCAAATGCATCCGAGTATTGTTGAAGAATTTTGGGTTTATATGGGTTTCGATTTTTTTTATTGTTCTAATTATCCGTTCCTTCATCTCGTAATTAAATTTATTTGTTTCCGTTTCGCAGGTGATTTTCGATTTTGGTTTCGTAGTAGGTCGTAGTTTGCCCGGGCTGATTCTGTTATGGGCGAACGATTCCGGTGTTGCAGCTGGTTGACGGTTGGCTGTCGATTATCCCGGTTCTGCTACACGACGATTTAAGGTGAGTTCTCCAATGAATTTAAGCTCTTCTTTTAGATTACAGAATAAGGATTGAGAAAGGTAGCATTTATTTGGAAAAAACATATTTCATCTTTTTTTTTGGGAAAAAGTAGTACATTACCTCATTCTTGGTTGGAAAATAACCATTATTTGGAAAAATAACCAATTAGTGAATTAGAATTAGTTAATATTAAAGTCAATTAGTGAAATAATATATGATGTTACTCAGTATAAATTGTTTGGCCTTAATATTGTTTGGCATAAACAATATATAAAGAATGCAATTAAGTTGTTTTTTTTTTGTAATAGTTTACGATAGTTATATCATCTTTGCTTGCTCTAGGAGTTGGTTTATATGTTTTATATGTTTGAGAGAGGTTACAGGGTCTGGAATGTGAAATTTAGTTGTGAATATATATTTTTTCCCCCAGCCAGTGTAATTATTTGCGAAAAAAAATGTATGCTTAATCAGATTAGAGGAACAAAAGAATACTATATTAATCTGTTGAGACTAGGGTAGATTGGAAATATGTAATCTCTGATTGTTGCTGTTTCCCTCCGTTCCCTATTAAGTGTCGTTTTTAGCTTTACAAAAACTACCGCAACCTGCCATACACTCCAACGAGAATGACTCTGAGAACATGTCCTCATTGCACGGTGAAGGTTACATGTCTAACATGCAAGGTGAAGGGACTTCAACCTCACATCAAAGTAGGGGTAAAAAGAAAGGCAACAAGCGTTCTCGAAACGATGATCTCGATGGCCGTATCGTGGATATGATGGCGGATATGACTAGGACTTTTGCGGAGACTAAAACATGCCTAGGCGAGTTGGCCCACCGTATCGGTTTTGAGCACGATGCGTCAACTACACATGTAAGAAGGTGTTGGATGCCCTATCGCCGTTATGTTTAGGTGTCGAGGATAAGATTACTGTCGCTAAAGCCGTTTGCAATAGCCCAACCGATCTCGACATCTTTTTTGGATTAAATGAAACCGAAAAGGGGGTTATGGTTCGAATGATCCTCGAAGGGCGCTACTTCGGTTAGCTAGAATATCATCCACTCACAAGGTGAAGAAACTTTTTCCCGTATTCGGACCCTATCTTGCGGCAATATTTGCATTGAAGACATTTCTGTTAGTTTTTCCGTATGAACTTATAAATTTTGTGTATTATGGCCGATTATATGTCTGTAAATATTCTGTTTGTTTGGAGCTACTATGCCTAAATGGTAAGCTGAAAAAATATTTTGTTATTTAGGAGCTAATGGTCAATTTTAAACAGGTTCACGGGTTGTGTAATAAATATTCCAAGGTTTTTGTCAATATGCATGTGTTATATTCACACTGCAACAGGTTGTAGTTGCAGGCCTTCGTGCAGATTTTTGTCAATACGCATGTCTTCGTGTTTTTTTTTTTTTTCATAGTAATTGGTTTATGCAATTGCGAAAGTTTCATTGTGCTCGGTCATTGATTATAGTGTGATCAATTACAACTTTAAATTCTATATGAACAAACATATGTATCAACAAATTTAAACAAACAATGTTAAATATATAAATATGTATTAACTAAGAAAAACAGTAGTATGAACAAAATGTAAACAAACAATATTAATATATATTATCGCCTATGGGTACGAAAATTAAAATTAAAATTACAAACCAAAATACAAAGTCAGGAAAATCAAATACTAATACCGAAAATCTTGCCGACTACATGGAAGTGGGAAAATAATACAGGAAATACCAATAATAATAATACGAAAAATATTAGGAAAAACTAGCCGAGATAATGGAGATTGGAAAATTTGAACTCCCATTAATCAATGGAGTCTCCAAGTACAACACATGCGTCAAAGTATGACCTAGTAATCGTTTGCCCCGTCGATTGGCCCATTGCCGTTATCCTTATTCAATGGGTGCTGCAAAGAAATATTTTACAAAGTGTCAGGTGTATAATATAAATAAATATAAGGGGGTTGCAAGGGGTGGAAATGTAATTATCCGAAAATGTTAGGGCTGATTTCATAATTACAGTAAAATGGGAGGAAAGAATGGGTGGTGTAAACAATATTTTTAATATTGTCAGGTGTATAATATAATAATAAAAAGGGCTTGCAAGGGATGGAAATGTAATTATACAAAAATGTTAGGGCTGATTTTGTAATTAAAAGTGAATGGGAGAGGAAAAGAATGGGTGCAACAAGCAATATTGTAAAAAATAGTGGGGTAATATAATATTAAAAAGGGATTATGAGGGGTGGAAATGTAATTATCTGAAAATGTTAGGACTTATTTTATAGTTACGGGAAAATGAAAGAAAATAATGGGTGCAGTTGGCAATAATTTAAAATTTTCAGATGTATAAACTAATAATAAAAATACCTTCCAATGGGTGGTAATGTAATTAACCAAATTATCCCACCCAATCCTCCCAACCATTTCTGAGATTGGCTCATTCGGATTCAATCCTACAGTTCCATATCCAACCAACCAAACCCGAGATACCATCCATACTTCACTAATCCATACAGTGTCATTTTCCAATTAAGCCCCAATCCCATCCGTATCCCATCCCACCCCATCCCTCCTATCAAAAGGGTCCTTAGAATATGGATTATATGTTCTACTTTTTTTTATGGATTATATGTTCTAGTTTTTTTTTTCTGGGAAAACTGGTATAAACAATCTTGTCGAGCACTGCAGTGAATATCAGGCATCGCAAGGTAACATTGCTCTTATTCTATTGCTGATAATTGCAACATGTTGCAATGTAGGGACTTATGAAAACAGGAAAGGGTTGACAGCATTGACACAAAGCATTGGCTGCAAAAATAATAAAAACTGTTCAACTTAACATATCTTAAGTTTCGACACAATCATTAGCAATTACCTGGTCATTAATAGAATCCAAAAATTGTTTAGCCAGTTGGGAAACTAGATAACGAGTAAAATCCCAATAATGCAAAAACTCTGGCACGCAGGCAAGCAAGACGGCAGTATCATTATTATGGCACAAAGAGTAGAATAGCTGCCAACTATATTCACAAAGACGAGGTTTACCCCATCCTAATGCTTGTACAAATTCGAAACAACTATATTTTTTTTTATCAGAAACGAAACATATGAGAGCATTGAGAGAGATGGACGTTCGACTTCCCAGTCCATAACTCTATATTTCTTTCTCCACTGCAGACATGAAGAAGAAAAAAAACTTCACATGTTTCTACCAAACAAATAAGAACCAACCAGACACATATCTGGAAGAATAAAACTTGTTAGTGATAAAAAAAAAAAACACTAAAATAACGTGCACATTATTCAGTATAAATATAGTCTAGAAACTAAGCCATCCTTGTTGTACTACTGGCTCCACACCATTCACTTCCACAAAGACAGGAAAAAGGTCAACGGAGCCCGCATCTAGAGAACAATCGGTTCCCGGAACCGTGGAGCAGCGCTGCTACTACCTCGAATAATGACCAACTTGCCATGAGAATCAAGGTCAACAATAACCGAATCACCTCCTTTAACTTCACCGAAACTCACCATCTCCGCCATATTAAGCTCCAATACAACCTTAACAAGCGGCAGAGGCCAGGACAAAACCCCAAGCAGAAACCTCTTAGTTAATTGAAGCTCAATAGCCTTCTTCTCTTTCAACCTCACAGCAGCATTCTTCTCTTTCAACCTCATAGACATAGTGTCTCCTTCTCTTGCTTCATTAGAAGCCTTGTTGAACCTCCGAGTTAATTGAAGCTTAGTAGACTTGTCTTTCCAAGACATAGTGGCTCCCTCTCTTGCTTCATTAGAAGTAGAACCCCTCTCGAACTGCGCACTACTTACCACACCGACCCAAGGCAAATAGGTTACTCGGACAAAATCATAAATCATGGTTGTCTGCCTATAAGTTACAGAAATCATAAAACAGCCAAAATAGACAATAGCATTTCTAGTTCATATGAATGCCATCAACAGAAGAGGAGTACTGACGTACGTACTGCTGTAGAGACTAATATTTTTATTTATTTATTTTTTTCAAATATCTGAAATTAAGGAGTCAGCAAGCATCCTTTCAAACTAGAATGACACCGATATCATTTAAAACTCTAAAAACAAAGGAAGCTATCAGAAATCATCTTCAATACAACTATTACAAAAATAAGATCCAAATTACTACCGCACAACCAAAATCTAAAAGAGAAAGCCACAATCTCGTACAGAAACACCGAGAAATATTGTATACTTGGAGGTGTATATATATATATATATATATAGAGAGAGAGAGAGAGAGAGAGAGAGAGAGAGAGAGAAAGAAAGAGAGAGAGAGAGAGAGACGAAACTCACAGACTGCGGCAGCCGGGTTGTACAGTGTGGATGGAGTGGCGAGGAGAAGTGGTGGACTCACTAGGGTTTTATTTGCGAGTTGTGCTGGATAATTATTGCTTATTTCTATTTAGGCCCTTCACTTTTTGTGTTCACTGATATTTACCCCTAAAAGTTTTCAGAATTAATCCAAGGAACTTTTTCCATACACTTAATTTTTAATAATTTTCTTAAGATTAAAGTTATGATTGATAAAATTAAGCACAATAATGAACACTATGATTGATAAAATTAAGCACAATAATGAACACTGAATGTTAAGAGCGATGTTTGAATACTAAATGTTTTATGTTTAAATTTATTTGATAGCAGTGTCATTTTGGTAAAATAAGTATTTTAGTCATGTAACTTTACTAGTTGAGAGTTTTAATTCACCATGTTTTAAAATCAGAATTTTAGTCATGTAAGTTATAAAGATCGGGAATTTTGGTGCTATGACTTGCTATAACAGGTAATGTGATGCTTGATTGAATGAGTTGGCATTTAAAGTATAAAAATGAACATATTAAAATTAAATTACGTGATGTGGCTAATGAGTTGGACGATTTTGGAGGGAAATAAAATATGCCATCAAATTATTATTTTTATTTAATGAATGAAATAAGCATTTTTATACTACTATTTTTTAGTTAATATTTTATAGTTTTCAATTGATAAAAAATAATAATTAACTATATTTAATTACTCGTTATGAATATTTGTTACTCTTGGTTTGATAGTGTATTTTATATTTGAAGGCTCTAGAATGCTTTTTTGGTACATTAATTTAATGGAGTTTTGATATATTTTATCGTTTTTTGGTTAATTCGTAAATGTGCATTTGAATTTTTATACTAATTATGATTGTGCGTGTTATTTAACTTTACATAAGTTTAATAAAGGTTTTTTTTCGTGTTTTTGTTGAATTTGATTGTTGGTTCAATTTCCTTGTAATCACTAGGTATAGATTTGTAAAGCAATGAAATATTTACATAAATATGAATTTAATTACTATTTTTATTAAATGAAAACTAAGAAATATTAATTAAGCATTAGTTAGTATTATTTTCTTCATAAAAATATAATGGTAGATTTTATTCGATGGTATATTGAGGTTCGTTATTAAAAAGATATAACAGAAAAATAAATATATAAATTAATATGTTAAATTGTTTCCCATTAGTTTGGTGAATTTGACATTGAAGATCAAATTTCTCTCCAAAACCATAACTATTAGCCACATCACCTAATTTATTTTTAAATCTGTTTATTTTTATAGTTTAAATTCCAACTCATTCTACCAATCATCACATTATCTGTTATAGCAGGTCGTAGGACCAAAAATTCTAACTTTTGTAACTTACAGGACTAAAATTTTAATTTTGAAACATGTTGGACTAAAACTCCCAACTAATAAACTTAGAGGCCTAAAAAACCCAGTTTGCTATCAGTTTTATATCTGAACGATGTTATTTTACTATCGTCCTTCAAAATTGTTCAATTTGATTTGTGGGTAAATGGTAAAGAGACCTATGACAAGGGCACCTGGTTAAAAAAGAGACATCCAATTTTTTTGTCTTTTAAATAATTCCAGTTCATTCAAACTTATTTACAAATACGGAAAATCTTTTTATATATACCAGAATTACCCCAAATTTTTGAAACTCTAATTCAACTCCAAGTTCATGATTTACTCCGCAATATAGCCCAATTTCACCATTTAAGCAATTTTGACAATTATTCAAAATTTGACCCGCCACCGCCGGAAGTGTTGACTTTTTTTTTAACTTTTTTTTTTTTTCTGAATTTTCTTTTTCCGGCAGGTCAACCGCAAGTCACCGGCTTTGACTTTTTTTTTTAAACTTTTTTTTTTAAATTCTTTTTTCCGGCAAGTCAGTCGTAGTTGACCGGTGGCCTCCGGCGTGGACTTTTTTTTCGAAATTTTATTTTTTTAAAAAAAAATTATTTTAATTAATATTATTGTCTTGGTTGCTAAATTACTGTCTCCAACAGTAATTTAACTGTCTTAGACAGTAATATTATTGTCTCCAGCGTTGACTTTTTTTTTTTTTTAAATTTTGTTTTTTGTTAAAAAAAATATTCTAATACTGTCTTGGCTGCTAAATTACTGTCTCCAACAGTTATTTAACTGTTGGAGACAGTAATTTCACTGTTTGAGATAATAATTTTACTGTACCAATTAATTTTATTAATTAACACGAATACGGTTCGTAAATATATGATTGAGAGCATAAACTAAATATAATCCGCATACGAATACGGTCATAACATGAGCATATGAAATACAATGATTGAAATCATATAAAAATGAACATAATGCATATTTCGTGAAATCAACACTTCAATCATATCCCAACATGGATCATTTGGTCAGATGTGCCCAAGTATACCAAATCAGTCGATGTTGGTGCATTATTATTTGTATCACAACATTCCTCGCACTATAGGTGCGCGACAATGGTCGAATCCACCACATACATATAATATGTATGTATGATCTAATTCCGATTCGAATTTTACATAAACCAGAATAGAATCCACTTATTCCTTGCTTCGGGCAAGATTATAGTCTTTAGGTGATTAAAACGATTAGCAAGTATATCCCATAATTTGTGAAAATTCTCTATTGATGAATGTAGTCCAATCGAAGGACTTCATATAAATATTTCTTGATCATAATCATAGCCTCGGTCTTCTGGACTTTGCTTTGCAAATTGCGTTCGATAACCATTTCAGTTTTATACTAAGAATGAGGATCTTAACATCCATTTTCCAATTAATTAAGTTTTCACCATATATATATATATATATATATATATATATATATATATATATATATATATATATATATATATATATATATATATATATATATATATATATATATATATATATATATATATATATATATATATATATATATATATATATATGGGTCGACTCGAGTTTATTCTTGAATAAACGTTAATGTGGAGTATTAGTGTTTTATGGGAATGTAACATC